ATAATAAAGTGTGAGTGTATCAGTTATTTGCATCTTTGGATATTAAAAGGTGAATTCAGAAGAAATCACAATATAACATTTGTTCACTGACCAACGGACAAGAAAACAAGGCTTACACATTTATTATTCATTTTCTTTGTCATGGTTATTTTTCTATCTTCAACAAATAGTTTTTACATGTCGTTCCTTTATTCACTCTGGATTGCTAATAAAAAGGCAAATTTAATAAGCATGATCACATTTGCTTTGAGTTATTGCATATTTAGTGCTAAATATTTAACTAATATTCTAATGTGTCATCAACGTAGAGTGTAAGACAGTTGTGCAGAAAGTAGTAAACAAACAGCCTTTGTCAAAGATATCTCACATATGGCTTTTCTGTCACGTCACATACAAACCTTAGTTGGACTTTCTACCGGATTCAGCAGAAATGAGTAATCAAATCCTTAATTATTCCATCATCATAGTGATTATTTTCTGATTGTTACACATAAACGAACAAAGGAATGCCTTGCTGTATAGGCTAATTAAAGACATGTTTTCCAATATGTATCAAAAGATCGACAGAATGCTATCGAACTTTTGCCATACATAAAGTAACATTATAAATTTTAGTGGAAAGTGTATAAATTTTTCAAGTATTAACGTGTATTATGGTAAAATCTTTTATGCAAAAGTGAGAAGTATCAATATCATACACGAATACTTGATTTTATTATTTTTAATCTGTAAAGCCCCCATTTTGTTTTACAATCTTGAAGCTTTCACCCAAATAGTTAATTACAATAGTATAGAACGTATAAGATCATAATACATCAACTAAGAAAAATAACGAGAATAATAATTGCACAACAAAATAAAATAAAACATGCAAAAATAAATCAGAAAAAGGTGTTCAACACCGGTGACACACACGCGTGTTGTTTTCGCGTGAATAGCAATAAATCATTTTTCATACTTTCATGGAAAATAGGATGAACAGATATTTGTTGATCGTGTCGTTTTGGGAGATATTCAGTACTTTCATTATATTAACCCTTGAAGTTTTCTTCTTAAAAAACCCATGTATTCAATGAAGGCTCTATCTAGACATAAATTTCTATGGAGATCTCAAAGCGTTTTTTATATATCAGTATAATGGAATATAGGAGAGGTCTAGCACCTTATCAAACCTAAAACATTACCCACTACAGCGAGGACGTTTAAGTGTCTCAGTGTATTCATTTGTGAGACATTCAAATTACAGTTTGTGGCAAATAAATAGTGTAATTATTGAATTATCCTTCGATCAATTCTTGAATAGCCTAGTTTTAAAATAATATAAATGATTTTACGACATCGTGCTGGTATAGGCCATTGAAGCGGTCATTTTAGCAACAAACAAACGGAGAATTAAATTCTCATATATTCTATATTATGTTTTTCACATTAAACCACAGTCGAAATGTTACTGTTATTCAACCTGATTGGAAGAATTCAAAAGTGAATATATAAAATGTAAAATATTCCTTGGTATCACATTGGATTTTTTGATATGTTACAATATTCACATGCACACTCACGTATCACATATAAATCAAATCAGAATTTCCCTTTTAAACTCTGATGAAGATGAATAAAATATATGCACACTCACAACACACACGCACACACTCGTTGAAATTAAAATGTGAAAAATCACACGCACGCAAACCTGTGCATTATCACAAGAAAAGCATTTTGTTATTAAGATAAGTCATCATCATTATTGTTCGGATACCAGTTTTTAAAACCATCTGTACTGTCTGGTGAATTAGTATCAAGTTTATGTGAATCATCATTTTGATCCATTATTTTCTTATTTGTTGTAGTACTAGTCGCTGTTGTTGTTGACTGAATATCGGTACGTGCTGTATCATTATTGATATTATCCAAAGCCAGTGGTTCAATAGTGAGTGGCACCGACGTATCATCATTTGCTTTCCAGATTTCAGTTGCTGGAGTTGATGTGTTTGTAGTTTGTACATTTGTTGAACTCTCCACGGTGCTATCATCTTGTCTACCATGACGTGTTTTTGGTCTTGGAATCGATTTATTTTCTTGACCTTGAGTTGGTCTTTGCTGCCGTTCACTGTTCTCCTGACTATTTATACTTACACGTGGAGAATTCGAATTTAATTTATTTTCTTGATCTAATTGTTTAGATATATGACGGGAATTCGCGTCATCATCCGTTGCACTTGAAAACGAATTCTTTCGTTTTACTTCTGATGTATCGTTTTCCTGTTGTGGAGAGGCTGTTGGCGATGATGAGGGTAAACTAGTTGAAATTTTATTTGTTGTTGTTGACGGATGAGAGAGTGATTGATGTTGAACTGGAGAAATACGAGTCGTTGGTTTCTCTTCCGTAAAGGATACCGTAGGATGTTGTTGTGCTGGCTTTATAGTTGTCCGAACATTGTCAAAATCGTCATCTTCATCTTCTGAAACGTTTTTAACCGTAGATTTGGTAACATTAACAGGAGAATTTCTTGGAGTTACTAAAAGTTATAATTTTTGTAATCTTAGTGTTATTATTTAATCGATAAAAGCATAGGTTATTGCTGCTTATCATCTATTTATCATCGGGTTTTTTTGCAACACAAAAAGTTGACGGAAAAGATAGTATATAGTATAGACGAATGGACTATTACTTTGAGAAGTTGAGTAAAGAGTAAAAATGAACAGTAACTGATATATCACTGTCGGTAACAGAAAGTTATCTTTTAGTGAAAATTGAGACAAATTGACAGAAAAACATCTCCAGATATTTCTTCTATGGTCGGTATAGATTAATATATATATTAGACTAAATGCTTTTATGGATCAACTAATACTTTTGTTGATTAATGTAGGTTAATTAAGAACTTACGTAAACAATAAAAAATAATTAATCTGTAAAACTTTACTGTACGGAATATCTTTGCAAGGCGAAAGAGCTCTAACTATTTCGAAAAACTTCCAACAAATTAATTCAACGATCTGTCGTAAAGATGAATTTTTAGACTTTTACTTTTTAGATAATCTAACTAGATTGCATCCGTTTTAGGTAGGACGAAGTAAATAATGAAGCGTTAGTGAAGAAAATATCAATTATTCAAGAGATCGTGTAAACAATTTAGTTTCAAAGATTTTAAAGGTATTAGAAGACAGAGAAATAATTTAGACAACATGAATTGTATTGCGTTAAATATGCCCATTTCAATATGAGTAGCTATTTGATTTCTAGAGAACAGATATATTTTTACGTTTATTTCTCTCTCTCTCTCTACTTACAATCGTCTGTGTTTTCAACATTGAGTAATTTTTCGGCAATATGAGTATATTCGTTTCGTTCTAAATCATCGTTACATGGAAAGACATATCTTTTATGTGTTTTTGCATCGATTAATTCAATCTTATCAAAGAAGAAAAAAAAAGGAGGTGAAATTTTAAACATGTAAAACTCTTTTTTTATTTCTCTTTACCTTTTCTATATTCCATTTTGCTGCTGTTATATGAGCATTGTAATAACCAATCTTCAATTGTTTTGGTTCCACTAAAATTGTATGTATATGTTTTTTAAACTGATGGAAAAAGATTATTGAAATAGTTACCAAAATTTTTTGATAATTTGATATCAAATTTTTCACTCGTACCAGATCTAAATGGTCCAGTTTTATTCAACGATAATTTTTTTGTTTTAACTTTTTTCGAGTCAAATAGTTGTATATAAATCCGACTATCATCTTCTGTATCTAAATCCCCATCAACACCTTTTGCCGTATATATAATTACTTGCCATTTGCTTTGTTCTAGAAAAAAAAACAACAACTTTCGACTCTTTCTCTTGAAACCAGTAATAAAAACGTTGATTAGAATATTTAATTCATAAATATAAAATATGTTTACCATCACTCAGTTGAGATACAGATTCACCACTTGAAGAACTTGTTTTACGCTTTATCTGTTGTTCTCTGGCTGATGGCTGGCGTGGTGTTGCATTGTCATCCTCATCTGAATGTAAACTATTGTTATCCGATGTTATTTGAATTGGTGTTTCAGAACCATTTTCAAATGTTCCATCTTTTCCCGTTGTTTTTGTTTGTTCAACTTCTCGAGATTTTCGACGCGTACTACTTGATACTGACGCCGATGAAGATGCACTGGAAACTGTTCGACGAGTTTGAGGTTTAATTTCAGTCTAAAAAAAAAGAATAGAATGATTAATCATTCTATTTTTACATAGTCTTAAAAAAGTGTTTTTACTGACCTTGGATAAAGTTAATACTTTTTCATTTTGTTTCTTTTGTTGTTCTGAATATTCAAACCATTCTCGACAATAGAATGTGGAATATTCATGTGTCTTTGGATCAACAACATCAACCTAGGAGAGAAATAACGTTTTATTTTTCTTGACATAATGCATATCTTGGATGACTTAAATTACTTGTGCTAAATGCCATTTTATTTTGCGTGTCTCATTTGAATCACTACTTCGATCTGTTGTTTCTCCATCTTCATTTAAAATAAGTCGTATTTTTTTCGGTTTTCCAATATCTTTTAATTTAACTTTAAATCGATCTATTTTTCCGGCTTTAAAACAATTTTTATAGTTATTTGTCGATATAATGTATCCTTCGGTTTCATTATTGTGATCATTGATAAATGATATTTTAATTTTAGGATTTTGTCCACCATTCAATGAGGCCGTTTGAAATTCGGATGTATGAAATATCACTTGCCATGTTTTCTCAGTCGAGTCACTCGATTTCACTAGTATGAAAAATAATCGATCAATACAGATTATGTTTGAAAATGAAAAAGAAACCCTACCCGATCGTTTTCCACTACTTCTTGAACCAGAGGAAGAATCTTTGCGTATGACAACATGTTTTGGATTCTTTTCAACCTAAAATACTTTCATATTATTTTATTTGCTAGAAAGTTTCTTTAAAAACATACAACTTTTGATGATGGTCCTTTTTCACGATTACTCGTATTGCCACTAGAATCTGTTGAATAACCACCGCTTATCTTTGTTTTTTCTGTTTGTGAACGTTCTGGTTGATGTTGATTCTCTTTCGTATCACTATCACTCGATTGACTCCCACTAAAATCTGAATCATAATTTTTTCCAGCTAAAAATAAAGAGAAAAAATGACTTTCAATACATCAATGGAATAACTCAAGAATATTTTCTTCCAATTGATTTATTTCTTAGTTTATATATTTCAAAAATAATTTTTAATATCACGTTTACAAATACAAAATATATTAAATATATTTCTAACTATTACCAGCAGCGTAAATGCCACTGAGTGCATATCATAGTGAAACATATCGAGATCAAAGCTAATTATAATAACTGACCTCTTTAAATTTATCATTATTACTACATCTAGTCAGCAGAACTTACTCGAAGTTGGTGTTCGCACCGGTATTTGAACTGGTTGGTATGTTGGCTTGGCTTCTTCAGATGGCTTAACAGAGAAATAATCGACTTAAAAATAAAGAGACAAAATAATTGAATTTCACATACACGATTTGGAATGATAACTGGTTCATCTATTTCCATTTTACTTTCATCGTGTGGTGAATCAGCATATATTTTTAATTTTGCTGTTTTTTCAAAACGACATCTGTAAACAAGACATGAAATCGTTTTATTCAACTATAATATAATAATGACATACTTGAGACACGGTTTAGATCCTTGTACAGATTGTATTCCAAAATGACCACGTTCACCGCCTAATCGGACACCATTTCGATGCTTGTATTCACAACATGTTGATATTCGACTATCAATTAAACCTTTGACATACAATGATAGTCCGAATGGAAAATTAGGATGACGTCTCGATTTAAATTGAAATGTATCTGAAAATATAAAAGAAAACAAACTCATAAAGGTAATACGTGTGAGAGAGAGTCAACTACCTCCAGCTTTCAACATTTTTTTAAAAACAGGTAAATTTTCTCCACCACAATGTTGTTGCATAACCATAACTTCATCAAGTGGTTCAAACAGATTATGATCATAATCAATCTTTGTATGAGGACCATAATAGATCATTGTCACTTCACATGAAGGTAATTCTTTTGTGGGTGAATGAGAGCGAGACGTATTACCCTACAAATCAAATATTATAAAAAATTGAGTTTTAAATAAGTGATATAGGATTTTTTTTCTATACAAATTATAAGAACACTACTATCGAATAATGAAAATATATATACTGTAAATGAACGATTTAATGACAACGGTGTATTTGTTTTTGGTCGTTGCAATCGACGTCTAGGGCTTTTTGATTTTTTTGGATTGGAAATATGAGCTGAGTGTACACGTGATATCCGTGAAGGTTCTCCAAACTCTTCATTCATCTAAAAAATAAGAATGATCAAAAAATGTCGGATAGATGAAGAAAAAAAAAGGTTCTCGTACCACTTCCATATCGTTATTAGCACTTCTAGGTCTTGAATGACTCCATGATGAACTCATTTGTAAAATAGCCATATCTGCTGTTGTGTTATGACTTTGTGGACGTCTTCGTGATTCCTATTAATAAAATAAATATAGAGTTGCCGTTGCACACACCCAAAAAGGTGATATTTCATACTTTTACACTGCTGACAAGAGCTGATTTAGCAACCATTTCAAATTGCTTACGAAGTTCGGCTTGTCGTGTACGTTCCATATCAAGTGCTCTATAAAATAAAATACTCAAAAAAAATATATTGATAACATATACAATTAAAAGATTCTATACCGATGAACAATGTTTTCCGCTAGCATTTGCCGCACGTGCTTTTTATGTTCTCTTTCAGCTAATTTGACACGATATTCTGAATCTGGTACCACTTCTCCACGACGACTTATCTAAATAAATAAAGAAGTTTGATGTTAACTTTCATACGGACCACACATGTTATTATACTTACCAATCCAGCATGTCGCAAATGCCTTCTTATTCGCTCATTACTGAAATAGCACTGGAGATGAGGATCAATCAAACTATTGTACATTGCTAACGTGCTAAACAAGAAAACTCAATCAGCCTTTTGAAACAATAGACAAATTTTCTTTTGAGCTTAGTATGGATAACGTATTTTGATTTTATACCTTGAATCTAAATGGCTCATTTTCAAAAATTTTACGTGTATCTGAAAGAAATAATTTGATTAAGAAATACTTCAGTTATTATTTTCGTGGTAAAGAATTGTAGGCACGAAAATGTGAACCCTTTCATTATTCAGAATTATAAATCTGTTGATACAAAAAAAAGAATACAAGTATCCAATTTAGTGAGTTAATTCAAAAGTCGTTATTGACTTTGTTGGCAATAAATATTGGTTTAACCATTATCATCTACATGCTTCATTGATCACTAAGCAACACAAAGTATTCAAAGAAAACTGATTAAAATAAGATGTCTGTAAAGAGTTTTATCGTAGATAAATGAGGCTGGCAAACTTTTTTCTAATATTTGGGAAAGCATTTCAGCTTCTCCGAAGCTGTCACTAGTGCGCAATCAGTTTAGCGACCTCATCTAAAATGACGTATGTTTTACACATAGAATAAGAGAGTTAATAAACAAAAAACACTTGTGATAAAACTACAGAGGGAAAATCTAATGTAAAAAGCATGAATATGAATTAAAACTTAAATTACACTCGTTAAAACAAAGATGTTGAGTTTATGGTTGACGTTGTCAAGAAAGAACTAATATATTTCAGTTTCACAAAGGTTATAATGAACAATTAGCGTTTTATACTTTCATACATTCAACATGATTGTAATGGTTAATACATGCTGTTTGATTTCACCGCCAACTCATGATCGCTATCAATTCTTACTCTCAAATATAATTTAGGTAAAACACGTCCTCTAGGATCTTACACGATCTGCTGTTTACTGTAAAATCTTAAAAGTTCTGCTGATACGATTGCACAAGAGGTTTGGCTTATCATACCAGAAAAATTCTGCTACGATGTATAGTATATATAAGCACTATCAGTTTATAGGATACAAATTAGAATTTGTTTTATCTCTTCAACCGCACCCATCAGTTGAATACAAAATAAAGTTCATAACTATTGAATGTGATTAAATACCATCCTAGGACGTCACGATCCCATACTAGGAAAACGAAAAAACAGGAGGAGAGTATTAATAGCAAAAGTCAAATATACCAGCTAAGATGTTCAGATGAATTCCTTATGACAAGATTCTCCAAGTGATCATAAGAAAAATCTTGTAATATGCGATCTTATAACCACGTCAAAAGCAACTGACATTTAATAGGACATAAATGGTCTGTTAACGAAATGGCTAGCAACAGGGTACAACAGGCTTTTAATTGTGAAAAATGGTCAGTTAACGGGCTCCATTCATTGTCCTTCATCTGACCTTAATAATGGCCTAAAAATAAGCAATTAGTTGTGTGTTAGTAAGGCTCAAATTTAGATAAGCAATAAGTGGCACTTTATTGTCCGTTTTATGATCGTTACATAAACAGACAAAAAACGGACATTTAACGTTTACCGTTTAATTCATCCTTTTATTTAGCTGACCTCACTACTATATAAACCACGTTGTTTGTTCACGTTGCCATACAAAACGTGGAGTTTTATTCTTCCTCGACTATATGAGTCATCGAAACGTGTGTTGAAGAAATAGCTACTGCTTCTAGAGATGGCACCGGTCATACCTAAGGAACCGAAAATATTCAAAAATTTGAAAAGCAGTTTATTTCATGGTAGTGGTCACAAAGAAATTAATTATGATCAAAAGTCGGATAATTACGCAAAAATGGCCATCAAACGGTTACTATTAAATGCTCGTTTCAGCCTGTTTCTTAGTCATTAAAAAAATGATACTTTTAGGCATTAATACGTTCTCAGTTATAATACCGAGAAATGGTCAAAAAATAGTGTTAACTAGCTAAAAAATGTCATTTAAGACACATTTTGTGGACTGTTAATGAACATTTAATAGACAATAAATTACATCGTTTTCAACGTCCTGGAAAGTTGTAATTATAAAAGCAAGAAACAGATAAGAGAAGCAGTGTAGAGGATCAATCACACCCTGAAAATAAAGAATAATTCGTGATCGCGATGCGGCTTCAAGCACAGTATGATATACACGATTCCTTGGTTTAAAGTTATATTTAACTTACCGTAAATTGAACTGGCGCATGCTATCAGCGGTGGTTTTTGATGAGATAACAATCTGTTGTGTAATTGTCATAGGGTATATATCAACTAGTTTAAATGTAAGAGTTAAAATAAACATTTTTATTGAAAAACTAATACTAACACATTAATCGAAATAATTGTATTTTTTGTTGTTATTGTTAACAAAAATATGGCTCAGATTAAAATTAAATAATTTATTTGTCCAAAACTTCTTCGTAATTGTATACCTACACATTGATATTATTATTATTTTGAAATACGATAAACGGAGGAGGAGGGGGGTCATGAACAATACAAATTTGTGCGTTAAAGAACGGTAATGTTCCGTCCGAGCACAAAAAAGCGTGTTTCGGAAGAGCACGAATCGTAGAAAATCGAGTCCATTAATTAAAACTTTTCATAAACAAATTAGTAGGGCAAATATTAATGGACAAAATGAGGTATGACCGGCGCTTAAAGACGTTTCTAAAATCAGAATAAAGAATGTCACTAATGATCTAAAATTACACACTTTTTTACTTGATAATAAAATTGAACTAAACAATCGTTTCCACAATAATGAAACATTCTAATCATTCAAGCGAAAAAGAAAAAAATTAACCACGAATCTTCACACTGCTAAAGTTTTAATGCCAAATAATGTATGAATGTGTGAGACTGTACTACAAACGTTATATAACAAAAACTAAAAAAGAAAATGGAATATTTAATGCTTTATAGTGTAATATTATCACACATTATCCCTCTATAAAATGTTCAATGAGTGTTTGCTCGTTATATAGCCTTTATGACACAATTTCGCATATTCGTATTATTGGCGTAAACATTTTTAACAGTGTATTTCGTTAAATATTGGCTTTTTTTATTAATTTACAAGAATAAAATAACATACACATAACACATAATTTAAGGAAAAAAACTGGATAAATGTACCTGATATATTACTTGAAATTAATCTTACAGAAAACTTGGTAAACACTTATAACATAATATATACAAAATAATTGATATGACGGGCACATATGAAAAAACAGAAAGACAATAGATATTAGTAAATTTCTTTTGTTGGCGGTGGAACTACATGTTCTCTGATATTGGATTTTGTAATTGGAATTAAATTGTTGATAATAATGGGTTTTTCTAAATGTGCCTCCATTTCATGAATTCGACTACGACGCTTGACTGGATGACGACGCCATAACTTAAAAAGATGAAACAGATATTAAATTAAAATTATAACGAAAGAAGATACAAATATATATATTTTGTTTTCAGAAACGCTTGAGGAAAATTCAAGAAAAGACTAACTCAAGAATCAAAAGAATAGCAAAGCAGAAGTGGGAATCTTCCACTAAAGGAAATTTGCTAGAATCATCAAATCAAATACAACTTACAATGGGTGTTATTATACACACTAGGACACATATAGAAGTTAATAATCCAGCAAGAATAAGAAACATAATAGCCAAACCCTGCGTTAAATTTGATTGTGGCACATCGTGATGATGTTGATATTGTTGAATTTTATCGGATTCTTCTAATTTCATAGTACTATCCGTAGGCAAAGCTATTTTTCGAATATAATCATAATCATTATTTGATTTTAATACAGACATATTCTGACTTTGTACTTGTTGTTCACGTTCATCATCAATAACAGGTAAATAAACAATTGATTTTTGTGCTGTAGTATCATCATTTGATTGAGCTGTTTCATTTTTAGATACAATTCGTAATATTGTTGTAGTTGAACTTGAAATAATATCATTAGTATCGATTGTTGATGTTTCAATCGACTACAGTGGAAAAAAATTGTCCTTAGATAGAGTATATATTTGTATATTATTGTCTTAAACCCCTTTTTTCTACTTCGTATACATAATCAAGGATAAGACTCCAGGTGTGTTCGTCAGAGCCGTTTTCGGTAATTGCAAATTAAGGAGTCAAATGAATGACCACTTTTAGTGGAGCGATGCAGAATAAGTCAGTAAAAGCGAACTGAGCAGCAGAACAAAAATAATACCTTACTTGATTGGTTTTGTAATTCATTGTTTCTGACTGTTCATTGATTTGCCTCTCAGACACTGGTGTCTCACGTTCATTCCTGAATGAAAATATTGTTGTTTGGTGACTATTAACTGCTGGTTTTGATTGTTCGACAGGTGTTGTTGCTGTTGTTAAAAAGACGTCTGGTATAGGACTTAACATTGTTGTATGATTTAGTTTTAAATTGGCATCCACTGTTGGTATTTTAAAACCTTCTTCGGAATTTAGTAATACCATTGTTTTATACTTTTGTGTCGATGTTTGAGAAACGGATGCAGTTAACGGTGTTTCATATTCACTCTCAGTCAATTGATTCCTATCGCTGTCAATTGATGATGATGATTCAATAAGAGTTAATGAGGCAGACAATATTTTATGAATTAAGAATAACAAAAGGATTATTTTATGCATTATTTGATATGTCTAACTTTAATTGACCCTCCTATGTAAGTTTATGGACTGATCTATATAAGTCCTACTAAAATATCAGTTTTTTCTTTTTTCAATTGATTTGAAAAAGAGAGTTTCATTCTAGACGTACACAGCAGACGTATGTTGTTATTTTTTTCATACTTATGATGGTACACGAAAAATAAAATGAGAATAGCAATAAAAAAGAAGATGACCAGCGCATTTATGTTTGATACACCCTGTCAACAAGAGGGAATTACATTTGCTGAAAACAAGATCATCTTCTAATCACAGCAAAACAATAATACTGCGGATGAAGGCCTATCTTTGTAAAAAAAGTATCTCCGGTGGTCTAAGAACAATTTCAAAAACTGTTTCTCGGCACTTTTTGTATATGAAAAATGCGCGAGAATGTTTTTCAACAGCGGCCGGACTCTATTTTTAAATCTGGTGCCGTCAATGTGACTGTCACGCTTGTAAATTCCAACTACATAGGTGTCTGGACAGTAGATAGCGACTCGTATGTTATGTGTTTAGTATGGTGTTCACCTTTTAGCCGTTAACTGAATCTGAAAAAATTAAAGATGTTAAATTTTCTCATCTTACTGGATAATTGGCTGATCAATATGGAACCATAAGCATTCGTCCGACAAAGTTTTGAAGAAGATACTACGGTATAAGACAAGAATTATGTTTCTCTCGTATTTCAAATTATAGAAATAAATTTGTTTGAGAACAATACTAAGCTTCTTACAAAAAAGGCTAAAAAACTTGACTCAAGAGAATTCTAAAAACTTCTAGTTTTTAATGTGTAGAGAATTTGTGATCGACAGTGACGTATGACATAAATTTTTGGATATATTTCCATCTTCGGCAATGGACCAAAATATGTATTGTTTCGCACATTGTTCGATAATCGGTACAGATATCTAATTTTATATCTACACCAAGTCGATATGACGTAAGAAGCTTTCATGAACAGCTGAACAATTTTTCCTTGGCTTAGTGAGGATAGGTATGATTCGCCTAACTCCAGCTTGTACACAAGATCAATCCATGTAATATCAGTCACGTGTGGAAGCATCGAGATCCCATAGAGGTTTTAAAGCATCAAAAGTTCTGAGTTTTAATAGAAATCGCAGGCGTCATTGTGAGAGCGTAGAAATCTTTATTTTACTTCACATACTTCACAGCAAAATCTGCACAATCATCGTTATTTTATATCTATTTTTGTTTAATTTTTGATTCTGGTCCTACCTTTCTTCGTGCACATAACTTGAAATTTTCTCTTCACCTGAAGGAGAAACTCAAAAAACATTTTCATGATGTTCTGAAGGAACCGAGCTCTACAGATCCTCTAGTTTTACTTATTATTATGTTTTTCATCAATCATCGCTGAGATTTGTTTTCTATACTTAAGCTTTAATGCTGAATCCAAGTAGAGCTGTATTCTATCTGTTTTAAGGTTTGGATAACTACCATTTGAATTTTTTTTACTTTTGACAGTTTAAGCAACATTCAGGTGAATCAGCGGTTGTTCTATAGACTGTTAAACCCCTTGAATCTTCACTTAAAATCGGTCCAAATTCAGAAATTGAGATTATCTATAGTTTCATATGCTGAACTTGATTTCTCGATTGAGAAAGATCACCTTTTCATATGTCACGATGTAAAAGGGTCAATACCTCACTCCTGTTTGTCATAGTGCTGTCAAAATTTATTATCTACGGTGGTTTCGCTATCTTATCACATTCACAGACCCTCACACAATGGTTAATGTTCTGTTGATCATCAAAATTTTCTTTTGCCAATCGATAACTGATATAGAGTAGTCAGTGGAAATATGCGCACTCAACAAAACAACTTTACAACATGCATCTTACTATTATATGCGTCACTCTTTAAAACAGACCACTAAGTTTTTATTCATTTCACTTTCAACCACTAAGGTAGTCCAGTATTCTAGTCGACACTATCGTGGTCTTGCTCATTAGGACCATGTACGCTCTTCATTCTAGCTGCGGCTAATCCATCGTAAAGTAAGGTGTTTCATTCTATCTTCTTTTCTATAAATTTCTTTTGAGATACAACCGACTTACGTATCTTATTTTAGGATACGTTTTTTTAGAATGCATCATGCCGCGACGTTTACGAGCATTTTTAAAAGTAAAACCGCACTTTGGAGAAGAATAAGAGATAGAGAGGTGATGTCAAAAGGTTGTCAAAAATAGCTGACAATGCTAGAAATGGTATCTCTTATACTCTATCCGATTAATGTACAATTTTCTCAAAGTGTAGATTATTGGTCGCTTCACTCACAGTTGCTGTGATCGATAGAAATCCACTAACTCCACTGTTTCTGCTTACAGGGTCTCGACGCTTTCGAATAGAACGATGTAATGACGTTACGTTTAGATGAACTTATCTGGCTTTATTATGCGATTTACAGATTTAGATTGTATTTGAAGGTGCACTGAATAAAAGTAAGGATTCGTTCGTGAGGTTTGAGCGTGAGAAGTATATGTTAACTAAAACTACATTATTGACATTTTTGATTATTGATCAATTATTGAATATGAGTTTTTTATTATACACTTACGAAAAAAACATAGTAGTACAATAACAAAATGTATAAATATTTACCGTTCTGTTTTTACTTCAATATAACTAGAATTAATTGCAAGAGATTCTTTGATGAGAGATCATAAGTCGAAAATTATCATTTTCTTCTAAAATGTTCATATATGACTGTTATTACTTCCTTTTAGATCACATTTATTATCATTGATAATGAGTAAACATCATTTTTACTTCTAATAACTCCGTTTTCTAAACGAGATAAAAATTGGTTAGAGTATTTAAGCATCTCTATAGAATATTTCTTTCAAATTGAACACTCGAGTTTTATCCAACAAATTACAATTGAACGTTTTTATCCAATCAGAACGTCAGTGTGAAAACATACATGATTATTTCTTTAACAATTACCTTGATTTTTCATTAACAATTTTAATATTTTCTTCTGTTTGTTTAATTGATGGATGTGTTGTTGGTAATATTTGGCGGAATATGTCCAATGATTTATGAAAATATTCAATAGCAATTCGGTATTCACCAGTTCGAGAATAAACTGTACCAATATTATTAAAATTCTCAGCTATATCACAATGATTTGATGGCAATGTTTTCATTCTTAGTTCTAAAGCACGTTTTAAATTTTGGAGTGCTAGATCATAATCATTAATATCGGAATATGAATTTCCAATGTTATTATATAATGTAGCAATATCTGGATGATTGTAGGGTAATAGCTTTGAACGTATTTCTAAGGCTTTTTCATAATATGTTAGTTCTGCGTCAAATTTACCCTTGTTATAATATGTCAAAGCAATATTATGGTATGACGAGGCTATATCAGGATTAGAAGATGAATTACCATTTTTAAGTAAAAGGTCAAGAGCTTTTTTGAAATTAACTAGTGCTAAATCGTAGTCATCTTGTTTTGAGTAAACTAATCCAATATTATTAAATAATGTGGCACAATCTGAATTAGATTTTGATTGTAAGTCGAGAGCCTTTTCAAAATGTTCTAGAGCTATATCATTTTCATTTCTATAATATTCAATTAATCCTAATCCTTTATAACATTCAGATTTTAATGAATTATCAGTTGTAGATGTTTCTTTTAATAAACGTTTATAATAATTTTCCATTATATGTCCATTTGTTGTTACTAGTGGCAAACATATTTTTCGTAACAAATTACCTAATGTTATAAAACATAATAATTTATTTGTTTTATATTTAACCAATTCATCTTGAATATAGTTAAATAAATGTGAAAAATCTGAATTTGATTTTTCATCATAATATGTTAATTTAAGTAACCATAACTCATTATCATAATCATAATTAACAGAATTAATACGAAATATGGTACCACATGAAAATAATATTTCATTATCATCTTTATTTGGATAGGATATTTGAGTAATATCACACCATGGACGTTTTAAAGACATTGAAGAAGAACGTAATAATGATGAATCAATTTTAATTTCAAATAATACACGATGATAAATAGCTGTTGGTTGTAAATATTCTTTAATTGTAGCTAATGAACGAGAACGATTTTTTGTTGCAAAAAAATAATTATTGATTGATAATAATTCACCTAATAAAAAGAAATAACTCTTATCAGAGTTGGATGGATAATTTGCTTACAAACAAAAAAATTATACAACATCTAAAAATATCAAGTCTTCAGTCTAATCAGATATATCAAAAGTCAAGATAAGATGTCAAAATGAATTTTTTTTGAACAATAAAACATCATTGTTAATGAGATTTACCTATATTTGCTTTAATTTTGGTTAATTTATCATTAGTTAATGCCTGACTATGATAATACATTTGTTCCAGTGTACCACCATTTCTTTGCTTTGTTATACTATTACTTGGAAGTTGACATTCGTATTGTTTTGATAATTGTTTTTGCATATCGTTTATTAGAAATTGATATAAATAAAGTAGATCAAGATTAAGTGCTATTAATGATTTTGAAAATAGACGATTTAAAAATGTTTCTCTTGTCCACCACCATATAACATTTGACGACACATAATCATCAGAAAATTCATCAATTAATTTTCTTTCCGTATAATTTTCACGATAATATTCTTTACAAACATTCAATAATTCGTCTGTTCTTGTTGTCAATTTTTTTGATTCATTTTGCTGTTGTTGAGTGCAGATTTGAAAATATAATTGATACCAAATAAATAAAGAATTATCAGATGTACTATTATTAATAATTGCTGAAGAATTACTAAAGGCATCCAAACGATTATAAACAGTAATCGGTACTAAATCACCGATTTGAGATAAAATTTTAACATCTTCCCAGATCTGTTCACACAAACGTTTTGAGTCAAAAAACACACCTTTTACCTGTAAAATAAACAGAAGAAGATGAAGTCAGATTGTCTATTCGATCATGAGGAAATTTGATAATTTGAATATATATTGTTTCAACTATTTGATAACGAAGTAATCAAACAGGATTTGTTCAATCTTAAAAAACATAAGCGGAACCCTAGGTAGGATATTTTTAAGATCATGTTAGGAGATTCTCAAGCAAAAATGACCCAATTTTTTGGGATTATATATTCAGACTAATTTTCACGTACATCTGGATGCATGTATAGCTGAATCTGGATAAATGATCCAAAAAGTCGGGTCATTTTTCCTTGGGTTCTTCATAGGCCTATTAGCAGAACATGAACGTATGTGCCATTGAAACCGAAACTTCTTTGTTTGGGCGAGAGAAACTATAGAAACATACAGAACAGATGAAGAGATGATTATATATATGTAGCAGGAGAAATTCAAATGCATGAAAATTTAAAATTTTAATGTTTTCTTGAAAAAATCTAGAAAAAGATGAAATTTTACTTTCTCCTAGGCGAAATGGAAATTTTCGCTTTTCCTTAGAAAAATTTTAAATTATCCTAAATAAAATATGAACGTTAATATTTTAATTATTTCTATACAAAAAAATTGAAATTTCTTTTGATGTCACACTGACTAGAGACAGAGAAAGAAGGAAACAAAAGTCATCCACATATAACTAAATATTGTTTCCATCGGTTAAGTTGATTTTTTTTTGTCACGATGAAACGTTTTTACACTTTACTCGATAACCATATTGAATCTTTCAATTACAAGTTTCGAGACAAGTTTTCGATAAACCAAATTGGTTTATCTGGTGTAAATCATTTTACACTATAGTGTGGTACAGATGAATATTGATCTTTTACCTAAAAAACAAGTTTATCTTGACCCTAATTATAAACATGATTTTCTCATACTTCGAGCCATGTCTTGTCTCTTACATGATCACTGGCTCGTTCGTGGCTTTCTTCGATTCTGATGTACAGATTTTCACGTCACAACTGGATGACTTCTTTTAATATCATACACGACGTTGAGATCACCAACTTTAACGAGCTTGTAAATTTTGTGCACCCAAAACTTAGAGCGTCTCCTCAACTGTCTCGATGAATCAAAATTATATCACTATACATCGGCTGATTTATCGAAAACTTGTCTCGAAACTTGTGATTTAAAGACTCAATATGGTTATCGAGTAAAGTGTAGAAATGTTTCATCGTGACAAAAAAAAATCAACTTAACCGATGGAAACAATATTTAGTTATGTGTGGATGACTTTTGTTTCCTTCTTTCTCTGTCTCTAGTCAGTCTGACATCAATAGAAATTTCAATTTTTTTGTATAGAAATAATTAAAATATTAACGTTCATATTTTATTTAGGATAATTTAAAATGTTCCTAAGGAAAAGCGAAAATTTCCATTTCGCCTAGGAGAAAGTAAAATTTCATCTTTTCCTAGATTTTTTCAAGAAAACATTAAAATTTTAATTTTTCCTGCATTTGAATTTCTACTAGTTGAAATTACGATTTTATTTTCTATTAGGAGAAATTAAAATAAGCGGCGATTTTAAGTTACACTGGTA